CTATAGATCAATAGACATTATACATTACAATAGAAATATAGGTTTGAGAAATTCAAGCCTACTGTCTTCTCAAGTTTGGCCTGTAACGTGTTATTTTTTATTCATTTTTCGATCGTGCAGAATCTGGGCTTTCTGAAAATGTGACTTTGGCCGAGAGATTCTGCCTCTACGAGGAGATTTGGTTATTTTCCTGATGCTATAGGGGTTAGCTCATTAAACTGGGCAATCTGCGCCATCTGATGGTGTGAAGCAACCACCATGTTTTTGGGTAAGCCTGCGGGCATCAATCGTTTTAAAATTGTTCGCGTGATATTGTTAGTCTTTAATGTGCGTTGATCAGTAAAGATACAGTGTATCCAAATGAGCGCTGTCGAGGGAGTCAAACGAACACCTTCAGAAAATCAGCTGGTTCTTCACGACGCAATAATATTGCCCGTTAGCGGCCATGTGCAATCGGTAGAATATGTGTTTATGATGATATCCGTATGTTTCTGGACAAGGCTGTTTTGTACACATTTCACATAACGCTACTAACGTATTGCATGAATTGTAACAGGTACTAAATGCGTTCAGATAAATGAGAATTTCTTTGAGATTAGTCGGAATCCCTCGAGTGCATGCTTTTGCGCGAAAAATCAGGCATTGACAAGAAATTCCTGTGCTTCCATCGATGGATTTTGATGGCGATTGCAATGATATCATACTATTACCAAATCTGTTATATTATTGATTAACAGCTAAATGCTATAGCATCAGTTGAACTTATCTAAACACATAATATTCGACTGGATGGATTCAACTAAATGGATTAGTTTAGTGAATGACGAGTTTTCTGATTACTACAATCTCAATCACTCGAAGTATTCATGCATTATCTTGAACTATCCACTTCGGATAAAATGTTCCCCTCAGTTATGCCGGATTCTAATTAACTGCTGAAATTAAATTTTTTCATTTCTTTTGCTCTAAACGAGATTGGTCTATGAGTTTGCGAATGTTTAATGAACACTGCACAAATTCACACAGTAAAATGTTCGTCGTATTCATAAGAAATTTTATTTTAATGTTTTATATTTCACAATTAGTCTGTACGAATAAACAATTCAATCAACCAAAATTTTAAAAAAAATTTTGCTATAGCAAAAAATTGCGAATGGCTAAAACGACTGTTAGAAATCAACTGGAAATAAATTGCCTTACAACTGAATTGTTAATGAAACTTCAGAATGAGTGAAATTCCAAGAAATAGAAAGAATGAACAATACAGTAATACTGTCAATATTCTTCGATTCATTTCAAACAAACGATAACTCAAACAACAACAACAACAACAACAACATGTACAACAAGTAATATACAACATATCCTGCAATATAATTCATCTATAATTACATTAGTAAACAATAATGGCGATATCAGTAGCGTTATTATGATGAACATTATCTTAGACTAATATTATCAGCAATAATAATTTAAGTAAATATAGCAATATGGTATAACCACTGATCATAATAATATTCTCAATAAAACAACGGAAGCAATGCAAAGCAACACACCCTTTTGATAACGTTGGGCAAGAGATCAATCATCGTTACTGAAATATAACAATTCAAAAATCAGTTCATAAAATATTTCCATTTACATATCATCACTCTCATAGACGACGTTTTCACACATACTGAACATTCGCTACGCATTTTCCATTTTTCTTATAAAGCAAAACCAAACAATTCATTTCGCACAACTTGAGTATTTGTCTTTCATGAGAACAGCGGCAATTGCAGGGGATTCCGAAACTCAAATGCACCAAAAATTTACCGTAAAGCCTACATAAAGATGACATGGGAGTCGTGCGATTGATGCAGAATACAATGAATAACATTCGTTGTTGAAGGCAATAATATAACACAAAACGGAATATTAATGAATCAATTAACTGACTAAATGTACTGAAACAAGAAAAACACAGAGTCAATTGAAAACAAGACTATATGGCACCAGAATTGCAATAAATGAAATGAAATAAATGAATGGAAGATGCAAGTGACCAATGAACAACAAAAATTTGAAATATTTCACAAAAAAATCACTTCGGTCGTCAAATTTTGCTGTTCAAATGCGACGTATTCGATGGAATATTGTCGCGAAATATTTTTCCGCTGATATCCTGAACAACAGTGAAGACATGGTCTTTGTAGAGGTTATTTGAAGAATGCCATACAATTGATTGCAGCATCACTCAACATCTGTGTCATACAACACTATCGATTTCTTCGTCGACAACGTCACACGTTTCAGGCAATAAAATTTCTGGATCCACTATCTGCAAAAAAGAGAAGTTATCTGTCGTTAGCAATCTTTCATATGCCTTCATGTAGTCGCATAAAATTGCAATCTATTGAAGAATTTACTCAATCTTTGGAAACATCGAGTTTCTACCGGAAAATCCAAATGCAAACAGACGGTAGTGAATACATCAATCTGATCAATAAAATTCCCAGAAAAGTTGATATTCACTCTTAATTTTTACTGTGACTTAACTGAATGATATGAGTTGTTTCAAAATATTTCGTACGAATAAATTGCGCAGCATTTTCCATCGCTCAGCGCATAGAATGAACATTCATAGTTCAGTATGAATCAAATGAATGAATCAGGCAGATTACCTCTAAATCACCGTGTTCAATTAATAAATGCACACGTTTGTGATAACTCTCGTGCTGTTCCATTGATTTACGATCTGCGAACGTTTTCAAACAAACCTAAAATTCAGTAAAACATCAGCAATCATCAATCAAACCATCTTATCACGACAAACTGATCGATATCGTTCCATTTCCAGCACTCAATTCATTTTGGCTTCAATGTACCGACTGATCATCACACAGCATGATTGTAGCGAATTCAGAAGATCTCGGAAAGATTCATAAGAGACACTGAACTCAGCTGAAGACAATCGTTCTTAATCGATGATGATATGTGAAGAAAGGCGATGAAATTACCTCACAAAACAACGGTCGTTCCATCCTGGCCATCGGATGTTCCAGCTCGATGTGTTCAGCGCATTCCAGCCGAGACATGAACACTGATTTACACAAAGGGCAGTCGAACCTCTCGAACGACAAGGCTCGAGCCTGCTCGAACACCTCTTCCAACGAAAACGAGTTCTCTTCAGCGGCTTTCAACAGCTCCGCTAAACGTCGCATCTGAAAGCAATGAGACAGACATTAACCGAATAAATTGACCCTAATTAAGCGATCTTAACAGCAGCTGAAGCTGACTGCAGCATAACGCGATACATAACGTATTGGAGCTGAATCATTGTTGGTTGAATCGGCGGGAAGTGAACAACGAGAATGACCCAAACATTGGAGTTGCTTAATAATGTATCATGAGGAGACATTGTCATTTGCAAACTGTGCCGTTTCCATCAAAACGACATGTTTTGTAGAATGAATTTCAGCAACGAACTGGCTCCATCACCTTCTCGGCGATCGTCGCACTGGGCAGCAATTCGCCTCGACGTATCTTCTCGATCCACACTCGAGCGTCCGGTCCCAGCCCCAGCTTTCGTTTCCGTGGTCGACTCGGTGGCGTGAAGAACGGCTCACCAGTACTGCGAACGATAATCGCATCGTCGGGAATATCGGCTGGCGGACGACGATTACTGTAGAATGTGTCAATTAACTACAACACACTCCAGACAAAACTGTACGGAGTTCAGAAATTTACCGTATTTCACATAGCACCTAAACCGTCCCGAGAACGGTTTAGAATTTGTGTGAGAATATTTGAAACGATTGCGAAGAGTTCGCAGAGAATTCTCATAGTGCAGTGGAATTTGTTGGTGAGGTTTGAAGGAGATCAACAAAAGCGCATCAAGTGGACGTTCAAAATGTGAGGATATCGACGAAACTGAGTTCAAAACTTCCGAATTAGAACAGTCTCCCAACGGGAAACAATTCATTCGATTATACTCATTGAATCGTTCATCAGGCTGATTATGAGAGAAGCCTCATAATCAGTGGTGAGGATATATGAAGTGATATACCTCGCGAAAGGCTTCCATGCTTCTTCTAACTCCTCCTTTGTTGAAACGTGTGTTTTCAGATGTTTTTTCAGGTTTCCTTTGAGTCGACACGTCTTGCCACAATACGGACAAGCGTGTGGTGTGAAGCCACTATGAACGGAACGATGCTCGAAGAGATTCGACTTGAATCTGAATGCTTTACCACAGATGTCGCAACCAAACGGCTTTTGATCCGTATGAATTACAGCGTGTTGTTGTAGTCCTGCAAAAACACAAAAATTCATCGATAGGTTGACTAATGATTACGGTTTTTATGGTTGGTGATTATGGTTGATTAATGATTTGATTATGATTTGTTGAATACTGCATCCTGAAATTGTCTCTGCAAGTGGACGGAAAGCTTCCACATCGCCATCACTAGTTATTCTTCAACATCAATTCCAATTCATGTTAATCATTTTGAGAATGACAATTATACATGATGGGATTTTACTATATTTCGAGTTTGATGTTTGCAAATATTTGGCGAATATAAATCGCATTCGCTATTATATTTTAGACAATGTTAATCACTGATATGATTCAATGTTTTCATTGTGAAGTTCGAAAATTAATGAGACAATGATCGGAAGTTGAAAAAGTTGACAGAGAATGAATCGCACCCTTGAACGAAACGAATATTTTATTGCAAATATTACACTGATGAACGGCTCGTGGTGGTACGGAATGTGGCCCTAGATCGTCCTCTTCTCGAAACTAAACAATTAACTAGTCAAAATTCTATCTCAANCATTCTGAGCTTCAACAATCAACAATCAATAAAAACTTATATTCAAAGTATAAGAAATTTTCAATAAACCTAAACTGAAGAATTTTGAAAAAATGGCGATTTCTATCGCATATTGTTATTTAGATATTCATCATTCGTCGTTAACCTATGCATTGAGTTTATTTGAAATATCCTCTGAACAATCTTTACTGCTGATTAAACGAACTGAATCAGCACCTCGTGTTCATCAACGAAATCATTCGGATCCACCATATCGTCATCCAAATGCCTCAATTCATCGTGATCGGTGGGTTGATCAATTCGCTGATGATACACAACGCCATCCGGAGTCACATGTCCAATATCAGCCGGATGCATTTGCATTGCCATCCGTCTTCTATCCCTGTTTGTTCGATTTCTGCTAACCACGAACCTTCCTTGATTCCTTCACCAGACTACCACCCTCTGCACCTCAACCTGCTGAAGTTGTGTAAGTGTCTGTTCGTATATTTAAGTATTTGGGTGTTTGCTCTCAATGAGATGATGCACTTCAACGAGCAATACCCCACAATAATGAACACGCAACGACCTGAAAAGAATCTCGACAAGCTGAGGTTACCGCCAATAAGTTAGGTGATGTCACATGGTACGGTAGTAATTAATCAACTGGACAACAATTTCTGATTAGGCGAGCAAGTCGCTTTGCCCGACCCCGAGTGTGAATTCTCACTCGACAGCACAAAGATTGCGGAACTGTTTACGGGATATTAAATGATTTCTTACGGTAGTAGAACACCTTACGATTATCAAGTCAGACTGTATAATGTATTACCCATCCTTCCAAACTCACCCCACCCCACCCAGCTATTACCAAACTAACAATTGACAAGTTTGCAAGGATTATGAACTAATTGATTTGTAGAGTTACATCATGATAATACCTTTCCGAAAAAATGTGTTATTAAGATAAGATAATCAAACATAAACAAGACTAGTCTTTCCAATTCCATTGCTTAGAAGTGATCATAGAAGTGATTGTACACCTACACTGTGGATATAAAAAAGCTCTTAAATCCAAATTTCATATGTAGCCCTGTGATCCTTTTTGAATTCCTCATCAGTATACAGTACCATATCATCGAATGAACTTATCAATTGTCTAAATCATAAGTCACACTATACCTATCTATCATCCGACAATGGGAGTGACTTAATGGAAGAGCGATTTCACGAAATGGTCATTTGCATACTACTGTACGCACTGGTTGAACATGCGTTCGTTGTGTGTCTGGTTGCGTGTAGAGATGAATTGAAAATTGTGATTTCGTACGGTTGTTGCGATGAGAATCTACTATGAATTAATTAGCTATTCAATCGCTAACGATGAATAGTTTCGAACGGAAACAGGCAAAAGGTTGTTGGTGATTTTTATGAGAATGGATGGACCGAAAATCAATAGTGGCACTTTGAGAGTGCAGAAATGAAATGGAGTTTATGTGCGATGAGAGAATGAAGTGATAATTTTTCTGATAATTCTGATGAATAACGGGACTTTTTTTCTGTATTCTTCACGAAGTATTCCATTGAAATGATACGGAATAGGTCTATTCAAATCTCATATTGAAAACCATTCTTGTGAACGGAAATAATCGATCAGATTGAGTTTCGTTGATTGGTGCAAAGAGAAATTGGCATTGTTGAATCACGGTATATTAGCTGTGCTCGTTTCCGTTAAGTGTTTACGTGAAACGACTACTAACTACTACATCAACTCTGCTGATTATGAGTTATTTCACATCGAGAATCTTTCCTTCCTTTCGATAGACATGAATTTGTTTCAAAGATGAATCATGCACAAAGTACACGATTGATGCAGTGATGAAAGGTTATTTTTGCTTGAGATAAATTACTGTAAGCTTGAATGAATACGTATTGTGAACGAATTTCAGCTCTAACGCACTTTTCATAATAGAATTTTTGAACATTACATATTTTGATGGGAATATCGTATGGTTTAGCTTATTCGGTTCGCTTTCATATCGGAAAATGTTTGTTCAAAAATAGTGCGCTCACTCACAGCGTTATCAATAAAACACACTGCTGCGACGTTCATTATTGAGTGAAACTACCAAAAATTCTACGCTATAAAAGTGGCTAAATTCATTGAAAACATTCGAATCTAACGGAAAATACGGTTGCAAATGGTAAAAACGGAAAAATTACGGTAAAAAACGAGCGCATTTGAAGTGGCGGTACTCGACCGTATGTGTGGTAAAGGCAAACCAGTAGCGCTGGGGTATGGTACAATACAGTATTGATGACCGCACGCCTCACACACAGTGCCGGGTGTCGTATCCGTTGCGTTGCGTTACCGTAGATAGATCGTACAGTAGAGATGCAGAGAAATTTCGTGATTGACCGTGTTAGCCGATTCGAATTACGATGCCGTCAACGGCACATCTTGAACGGAGTGATTCTGCACCGCGAATTTTGAATTATGGCTTTGCATCAACACATCCGATCGCAATTCAAGAGAATTATAACAGCAAGCAAAAAATTTGTTAATTTTTCAAATTCTTAAGGTGTTACTTTGGTCGAGTTGTTCCTAGAATCTGGAAGTGAGAGGTATTTTCAAAGGACTGTGCATGTGAGCAGTTGTGTTTTTGTTTGAGAGGATTCCACTTTGTAGTGATGGATTGATTATGTTTTATAGTTTTTTCACCATATGTAATGTTGCGTTTGATCGATATGCATTGGCTCTTACTAGTGAACGTTTTGTGAAGTGTTCGTGTTAATCGAGAGACTCTTGTTCGTGATATCAGAACTTCCGACGAATATATTTTCAGAGGAAAAAGAAAAAATTTCGTTTCTGTTTTCAAAAATCAGAATTTTTTTCCAAAAAAATTTTTTTCTACAGAAAAAACCAGCATTTTGTTTTTCGTGAAAAGCAACAAAGGTTTCTTTTTCGCATTTCTTGAATTCATCGCCAGATTTAGCTCGGTAATTGTTTATTTATGTAATTTTTCCGAATGATCAAATAGAAGTGTAGTATTTAAATCGATTCATCGCGATTTTTAAAGACATTTTTCACAGTTATTTACTAATTTGTATAATTGGATTCAGATTCGTTCAACTGATCAGAATGACTTCGAATGGAACGTATGTGGTACCTCAGAAAGAAATCAAGTCAATCTTTGATATTACCAAATGGTGCCAGTCAAAGGTGTGTCTCATTATATTTTCATCCAAATGTTTTCATTAACTAAATTTCAGTGGCTCATTATTGTGAATTAAAGTAGAATATCTTGAATTTCAGGCTTATGCGGGTTATATGGAAATGATTCATGAACTGAACGATTCGGTGAAAGGAATCCTGACAACTGAAGATATTCCAATTAGTCCGAATGTTATGGAGGCCATCGATATTTTAGACGTAGTGCAGGTTTCTTCTTATATCATTCAAATAAAATGAGCACTGAATGAAAGATTATATTGTTGATTCATTCCGGATCCAAATTTTATTTTCTCCAGTCCTCTGAAGTCGTGAAATGTTGAAAATTTTGCCATTTCAATGCAAAAGTTTCAATGATGCAGTGAATCCATGAAGCTTAAATATGAATGTGGGCTATATAAAGTGATAAAACTACCTCGGAATAGTGGAGATATATTTAAGAAGTGGACCTTGGAATATCCACCGGAAGATATGGGTGAGCAGCGATTCGGTAATAAATCATATCGTAAATGGTATGAACGCTTGACGCAGGTGTGTTTTTAAGTGTACTAATTCTTTCGCTTTATTTCTGATATTCTTTGTTTCTGATATCGTTTTTTGGAATATACGGGTGTGAATCATTTTGACTATACGGATTTATCGTAATTCCGTTCACAGCATTAATAAATTTGATTTCAAGGAAGCCGACGATCTAATCTACAGTCTGCTTCCGGCAAATGCGAAAGGAGCGGTCCAGGAATTGGTGCCGTATTTGTTGGATTCGTTCGGGAACGCGACTCGAATCGATTATGGTTCAGGTGGGTGGTTGGTTTGCTTTTTGTATTGTTTTTAGCTTTTATTTTGAAGACTTCGTCCGTATGACGATTTTAAAGTTGAATTTACAAATAATGTGAAGTGAATTCAGTTATTGAATGTGCAGCGATGTTTTGAATAATTTTGTTATTGGTTGCAAATTTGTTGAAGAAACATTTGAAAACTTTTATAAAGTGAAATATTTGAGGACACGAAGCGTCATATTTGGTGTTGATGTATTGCCTTCGAAAGTTGGGTGTTTTCTCGAAGGATGATAATCGTGCACTTGTGTTACGCGTTTTTCTGAAGTACGTTGATGTCTTCGTTGTTGTTTCACTCCCAAACAATTTGATATTTCATTGAATTGATGCACTGCAATGGAAGATAATCTATATTATGGAGACGATTAATGTGAGATGAATAAGTTTCCAACCGCAACGATGAAAATGACCGATTAAGCTGATTCACTGTGGAATTTATTTCGTATTATATATTTAGAATGAAGTTTTAAATCATATTTCCTCATAAATTTGAGATCGATGATTTTGAGCGTGCATCTTTAAATCTTTAAGATACTTACGAGTGGTACGTTGTCTTCAAATAACCTACAGAATGGAACCGGCTGGAAGTAGAGGCGTTCATGCTTTAGACGATTTCCAGTTCATACCATTCCTATGGGGAAGCTCACAGCTGATTGGTAAGTCAGCGCTCGTGGTTTTCATAGAAGACTTGTGGTTGACTGGTGTTTTATTATGACGCATCAATTTTGTTTTCCTCATTTAGTTTTCAACATGGAATTGACTAATATCGAGTCCGGCAAGCTGTCATCAGAATTGATTGAACATCATTCCTGTTTTAAGGCAACAAGAAGCGTCTCATACCAGATTCGTATCTGAATCCCCAGACGGTCGAACTGAACGCACCAAAGAATCTTTTCTTTGACGCCGTACAATATATCAATGAGGTAAGACACACGTTGTGCTCTGATCATTGTTAAATTTCAGCAATTTTGAAATTTTAGTTTTTCGTTGCCCATTCAATCATTGATTGTTTAGGCTTTTTGGAAGTGTTCAAGAATGAAGATTTCGAGTTGGGAGTGATTTCTGGAGTGAAGCTTTTCAACTGATTGTGTTACATTGCAGACAAAGACGGGTCCGTTTCATGAGCATTCGAATCAATTGTGGAACATAAGTGCGGTTCAAACATGGGAGAAAGTCAACTCGGGAATGTTCAAAATGTATGAAGCTGAGGTGAGTTATAATAGTTGTTACGGTCTCGTTGCAAATTTAAAGTATTGATTAGGTCATTTCGTTGGAATAGTGATTATAGAGCAGGCAGTATTCAGCTTTGCGAATGTTAGAGCAGACAGTGGCAGTTCAGAAATTANTGGCAGTTCAGAAATTATCCAACCACCTTTAGTTGTTGAATGGAATCAGCTGAAGCAATCTCCGAGACTAGAAATTGAATCCAAAATGAAATTCTAAATCTTACGAATGTTATTCAGGTGCTGAAGAAGTTTCCGGTTGTTCAGCACTTTCTGTTCGGTACGATATTCTCATTCGAACCGGCGAATGAGATCAGCGATCCAAATTTATTGCCATCGCCACCAAAAACGAGCAGTCAAAATGATGCAACGACTGAGAGTGCTGTTACTGCTGCTGAGTCGGGTGATAAACCTTTGGAGGCGAACAACTCGTAACGATTTTGATGAGCGATATGATCTCTTTCTGAACATTATTTTGTGTCTCTTCCCTCTTTGTTAATTTATCGTTATGCTAGTAGTATTTTTATTGTCCTGATTAATATCCATGAGATTTGGTTGGCTTGTCATAATTTTTTTTGCTGTTACGAGTTCGGTCCATTTTGATGGCGTGTAATCAGTGATAGAGATAGAGATTGATGATGGGCTCATGTGCGTGTGTATTTGAGGATTGCATGCCAAGGTTTTTTTTCGATTTAGCGTAAAATTTGTTCTGTGATGCTTTCCGATTTAGTACTAATAGTAGTAGTAGTAGTTATTTCGACCGTATAGTTTAAATTTTGTGCAAATTGAACACTCGTTGTCAACTATCAATCAGATCTGGTCTATTTTTCGTGTTAAGATTAATAGTGTTGTCCTTCA